CATCATCATCATCATCATCATCATCATCATCATCATCATCATCATCATAGACAAGGTCAGCAGCCAAATATATACCTGTTTGGAGTATTTCACCGGCCCTGTCGTTCCTCCTGGTCACGTTTGCTGAGACGAAGAAAACCGACTTAACTTGCGACGTCTTCAGCGATCGGAGAACAGAGACGAGTAGAAGACTGGTGGATCCTTGCATCGAGTGACCAGATCCACCAAGATCCTGCAGGAAACCCATTGTTTTCCATTGTTTTCCTGATTCTTCAAAGAGAGGAGAAAGTGAACACTCGTACCAGTGTTTCACCGGCCCTGAAAAGAGTGATGCCTTTGGCCACACGTTCGCTTTTGATTGGTGTCGACGTTCATTCGTAGTACAGGAGTTCAGTTCGTAGATGGCATCGAGAATTGATTCGGTGTCTATCTCAGTCATCTCTTGGGATATGACTCAACATCGGTTTATTATATAAACAAAAAACATGGGTTTCTCTATCAGTCGATCATCTAGCTCTCAATCCTCTGCCCGACTCAACACACCGCTGGTGGCCCGGGTTGACGTACCCTCTCACAGGCGGTTTCCGCCGGTCAGGCGAGCGGCAGCACAGCGGCCGTGTTGCTTGGCGCCTCGGCGGTGCTGCTGGCCCTTGGCCGGCGGGCCAGGCCCAGCGGCGCCAGCGGCACGGCAAGGAACGTGTGGTCATTCTTCGACATGGAAAAGAAGGCACACCGTTTCAGCGACACGGAGGGATGTGGAAGAAGAAGTCATTGGAAGCGTTGGGGGGGTCAATGTGTTTGGATTTACAATAGAAGGTCATGCTTTTCGCCATATAAATTACGCTTGGATGTGTTTGGTTAGACGATGCTGCAATTTGGATGGGACAGTATCAGGGATCCGAAAGTCTCGAACTCAACTTTGTGCAACACAAGAGTCGGGCGGTGAGGCTTTGGGATATGATGGATGGATTCAAGCGCTCCCCTGTCAGTTGGATGCCACAACTTGTCTTCTTTTGGACAGGTTGGAGGATCAGGGTGATCTTATCAAAGGTATATAAAGTGGCCAGTCTCTTTTTGGGTAGGTCGGACAAGGAGGGTTTGATGCTCCTCTCAGAGATATGCTTATTCTTGGAGGGTCTATATACTCCCGTTCTGCCATTGGCTCTGACAATGAGGATACATAAAACAACTTTTTTGTTCCTATTTTTGTTTAAAGTTTATACGTACAGTTTGTGTATATATATATATACACATTATTGCCGAAGATTGCACACATCAGGCGTTGGCCCCACCAAAAGCGAGTGGTAGTCCCTCTTCGTCGTCTTCGTCAGATTGACTGCATGACTCCACTGCTCGGCTGCATGACCAAAAAGACTGCCCCCGACTCAGTGTCGGTGCCGGGTTTGGCGTGTTTTGGTCCAGGAAGATGGCTATGGAAAGGATGCTGCCACTGTGGGGTGGCGCTCCTATCAGATGCTGAGAAAGCAGAGCAAGCTGACGATGGGACGGAAGATTCGCTTTTTGGCGCCATGAGGATTTGCGAAGAATCAGAAACAGTGGGGCGGAGATTGGTGAATCCGGTCTGAGGGTTAGGAGATTGACTTGACTTTGGGCTGAAAAGGGGGGTTAGAAGCAAGGATTTTGGGCATCAATGATCAATTGTCCACTTAGTGAGTGTCATCAACTCTTGCGCGCGGGGGAAGTCTTGGTGGTACTTTGCTTGGTCACTGGAAAGGATTAGTCTCCACCTCCTGTGCCCGTCGAGACACTTGTCGACACCTATAAAGACTGCGTGGCTGGTTCTCATCGCTGGGTGCAGAACTAGCCTTGTCCCATGCGATGAAGAAGCTGAGAGGATGTCCATGTCATATCCCTCTCAAGTTGGAAGGATTGGTACCAAAGAAGATCCCAACACCAAGACGAACGGGTGCTCTGGCCGGAAGATGACCGGACCTGAAGAGGTTGGAAGACGATCGTTCAACCTATATAATAGCAATGGCATCTATATAATAGCAATGGCCTCCGACCTAATAGCGATGGCCTCCACCCTAGTAGCTATGGCCTCCGACCTACTAGCGATGACCTCCACCCTAGTAGCTATGGCCTCCAACCTAACCTGAAGAGGTGAATCCAAAAGCATCCCAAAAGACCTGCTTTCGAAGACTGTCCCGTGCTTTCTCCCAAAAGGCCCCTACGGTCAATCTTTCTTGATCCAAGGCTACATGCGACAGCAGAAGATCCTTCGTGACAACAACGTCAACTGGGGCCGCTATGGCTCCTGGACCGAAGAAGTGAAGAACAAGAGATTCCGCAACATGTACCAGGCACCCGCCCGTTCCCGCGCGTAAGGGCGGAAGCGCATGCTCCGTTTGTTTTGGCCCGGGTCAAGCGGTTCCCGCACTCGGATTGGGGGTCTTTGTTGGCCCGACAAGCGCAGTTTGCGCTTCCCACCAAAGTGCAGTTCGGCCTTTTTGCCAGAACCCCACCGAATGCAGTTTGGACCATCCGTTGGCCGGGCCTGGCGGCGCTCGCGCCAGGGGCCGGAGTCGCATCCGGACAACCCCGACTTCCCGCGGCCCTTCTCCGGGCTGCCTGCGCTGGGAGGTGCGAGCTGGGAGGTTCGTGCCTTGAGGCTTCGTGCCTTGAGGGATTTGACCAAGGATGTGGGGTTTTGAATAGAGAGGCCCTCCAACGGTTGGGTTTTAGTTTGATTGTTCCTGTCTCCCCATGTCAATACACAGCCATATACTCCAGGTCGGTCAGCTTGTCCACCAGCTGCAGCTTTTGCAGGTTGATCCAGCACCGTGTCCTCCCCCCCCCCGCTGAACCAGGCGGGGCTCCGTCGGTGGGCCTGGCCTGCTCCGCGCCCCGTCGCGCGGGCACGACCTTGGCCGGCTCCTTTGGATCGCTGAAGCGAGCGGTGGCTCGGTGGAGTGGAGCGTGTGGAGCGTGTGGAGCGCCAACATGTGAAACACCGGAGCCCAATTTCAGATGAAATCTTCCGCAGTCTTTCCGGAGAAACACTTTTTGGGGGACTATAGCACCAGAACCCTTTGAAGCTCAAACCACAGCTGCGGTCCTCAAACCATAGCACCAGACTCCACACCTCAGACTCCACTTGGCCCTGACACCAAGGACGCCACTCAGGTGTCTGACTTTTCTCAAGGCTTGTTGGTAGGGTAAAGCAGCAAAGCACGTGTCCTGCGGCGGTCTCTTTCATCCCGCCGGAACAAGTGCTCTTGCGGATCCTGTTTTCATACGAAATGGCAGATGGTTCAAGCGCTCTTCCATGGTGGCAGCCCTGGGGATTTGAGGACATTTTTGGTAGGATTTCTTCCGCGCAGAGGACTCATTCCCTCCGCTCACTTTCATCATTTATCAATCAGATGCTCCGTGTGGCATCGTGATCATCGCTCACAAGTGGCAGCCTTAGACAATAGCGGACCAGCAGACTCCTTCAAGCTCGTTCTCTGCAGAGAAGCCTTCGTGGAAGCAGGACCAGCAGTTGTTTTTAACATTTCCCATGCCGGTGGGTCAAACCTGGGCACCCTGGCCACGACCGCACACATCAACCCAATGTCTCAGAATTTTGGCATGTCACTCGGACCGGGGGAGGTTTTTGACTTACCAGCCCCCACCGAACGGGAGGTCTTCACTCCGTGCTCCAGGTCTTCACACCGCCTCGCGCACGGTCGGCCTTGGTCCTTCACGCCCACAAGAAGGCTGAAACGAGCTCCGCGGGGGTGGAAGAGCGGCCCAATGCATCAAGAAGTCTAAAACGATCCTGTATTGGAAGCTGCCAATGTATCAATCATATTTTGTCCGCCCAATGCCCAGCCAGCCCAGCGTTCTATTCAACGGCTTGTAGTCCCAGCAAGTTCAAAGTCAAGTGCTTTTTGTGCGAATCATGCAAACGAGGAAGCGTCGGGTCATTGCTTCAAGTACTGCACCAAACTAGAATGACACTGATTGATCAGGCCAGAGATAGGGACTGCCTCCAAAAGAACAGGAATTGCTGGTCGGGGCAACCCTGAAGATTTGCGGGCATAACATATTGATGTGAAAGCACCTGGTGTCTCGCACCCTTTACATAGGTGCCTTGGTTGTGTACCGAACGCTTCTGACCGGGTTTCAGAAGGATCCGCTTTTGTGAACGACATTGTTGCCGGCTTGGTCAAATGTGCCCACCTGGAGTGTGATGTGTTTTCGCCTTTGACCCTTGAGCTGTATTAGAAAAAATAGATCAAAGCACACTTGAACCTGTGCCCCCACATGTTGCGTCAGAGCGGCGCATCTCTTGACAGTTTTCACCAAATCGGAGGGACTAGAAACATCTAAGTTCCTGGAAGGTGGAAATGACAACTACAAAAAGCCAGGTGTCATGCTACTGACACAGAGGACAGCCTTGAAATAACACGAAGGCCCGAGCAATCTCAGCAATCTCAGGTCTGAACCTTCACAGTAAGGGCTGGCCTGCCTCGGAGAACTTCTCAAAAACGAGTCTTCGCTCCCGTTTGGCTTGACAACTCCCCCAGAGCAAACCGTTTGTGGGCTATGTCTCGAACGCCTCTCCGCTCCCTACATCCATTGGAGACAACGCCCTACTGTGTGGAGCGAAAACGGGGCGTTTATTTGTTGGTCCTTTTTTGGACCAACTACGCCTGCCGTTCTTTTTGTTACACACAGTGTAAAAAATCACATGTTTTGTTGGGGTCCCGGCAGGACTCGACCAACCATGGGTGGCCGCCGCCGTGGATGGGACCGCCGTGCACGGAGTCTTCCGGACCTGTCTTGCGGGTTCCCCCTTTTTTTTCCACGAAGAACCCGCAAGACAGGCCATGAAGAAGGGAAACATGGGGCGGAAATGGGAAAAAGGAAGATGAATTCACCCGCTGATCGTCTGGGGGTAGCAGATTTCTCACCTCAAGACGAGTTGAGACATCTGCAGGGTGGGAATCGGACAAGTCGAATCGAGCCTTTTTGACCAGTCAATCTCCCTTTCGGTGGTCACCCATCAGTTTCATCCACATCTCGATCGGTGCAGCAGTCGGTTGCGGCACGCTTCGCAGGCGGCGGCGAGCACCAAGAACCAAGGCTCTGCTCGTAATCCTCACTTCTGGGGAGTGCCTTGGGCTGTCTGAATCGGGACGTGTTCCGGGTGTGGGAACTGGTGTGATCTTCCGAAGTTTTCAATCAATGCTACATGGCATGGTTTTGCTCAGCAAAGCTGGACTTATGTTCAAGGGTTTCGGGAATCCCCAAATACCAATTTTGGTGCCCAATCATATGCAGGAGAACAACTGGTAGAACATCCCTTTTTCCAACCCCTTCTCACAGTTTCCGTGTTTATTTGGCCGAGGGTCCACATATATCAACCGCAAAAAACGATACACTTACCAGCACCACCGAAAGGGTGGTTTATAGAGACCCTTTCTATGTATTTTCCGTCCAACAACCACCCTTGTCATTGTGCTGGTATCAATTTACGTTTATACGTTTATATGGATATATATATAATATATAATATATGTATATATATATATATGTATACTGTACATGTTAATGTTACTTGGGAAAGGGACCTGGAATCCTCAACACACTATTTGTTTTTTTGTGTAGCCAAAGGTTGGCATCCAAAGGCAGCTCATTTCCACTCCTCAAGAGGATGAGGGCGTGCAGGGGATTAGAACAAAGACACCTCCTTTGGCTGTTCAGGTCGTGTTAACCAGGTCAACGCCCTGTGTAACCAGGTCAAAGCCCTCAATGGCAAATCTGTGAAGTGTCGTCAGCTCTTGGTGAAGCAGAGACTTGGCCACGAAGCACAGTCATTTGCAGCCGCTGTTGGCTGTTGGGTTGGTGGCACGTGATTTGGTCAAGTCACAAGTGCCAGACGCTTTGAGGATTTAGAAAGACTGCTGGCTGGGGCAACAACGGGTCTTCAAGAAGAAAAGGTATTGGGACAGAACAAGGTGGCCCTGTGCAGTTGAGTGAGGTGGAGGAAAGATGGCTGCGCTAAAAAAATACACGTGCGACACGTGCCAAACCTGCGTGTCCGCGGTCGAATGAGGAAGGGTATGAATTGGTACCCTGGAGAGAATGTGATGAGATGCAAGTGCCTTGGCTTCGAAGGACCTGACCTGGTCTTTCCCGGTCTTTTACCGATGTGAGGTGGCACGGACCCATGACACGCTTGGGCGGTTTGGGCGGACTGAATGGGCCACCAGCACAGACTTGACGCGGAAGAAAGGTTTGGTAGAAGGGGAAAGAACTGGTGCCGAGATGAACACTCATCAGCCTAAAAACCCTATATTATAGAAACTACTAGGTTGGAGGCCATCGCTCTTAGGGTGGCCATTAGAATCCATTAGAAACAAAGCAAAAAGAAAAGGAAGCTCTGAAGAACTCGTTCGAAGGTGTCGGCAGAGCGGACCCAAGCGAGTCGGTCACCAGGAATGACTCCTTGATCGCCTTGAAGGATGGCATCGTGCAGTGGAAGGGCGATTACAAGCACAGGGAGGCACGATACAGATCTTTCTAGATCCCATGGTGCCAGGTTTTTCCTGGGGGGGCAGAATCGGGGAGAACAGGCGGGTGTCCATTTTCCGTGTTTCCAACGAGCGGGGAGACCTTCACGCGGTTGCCCTAGAGTTGGATGGAGTCGAACCACCGAGTCTTGATGAGGTCGATGGAACTGTTGGAACGGAACCGAATCTTCCACAAGTACTTTGGAACCGATTTTTTTCGAACATACTTCACCTTGAAGACTTCACGAGGGTAGACCCGATGGGTCTCTGTTTGTTCTCTGTTTGGAACTGGAATTGGTTCCCGGTCCAGGAACTGACCCGGGTTCGCCGGGGCTTCGCCGGCGCGCATGGGGTCGGACCCGTGGAGTCGGTTGGAAAGCCGACGAATGGAAGTGGTTGGACTTCGACCACAGTGGATGCTTTCAGTGATGTGTTACTTCAGTTCTTCGGTTCCACCAGATGTGGTGTCAATCAAACCAGATGGTGGGGCGGGATGGCTTCACCAACCGAGTCTTTGTTTCTTTTCGACCAACCGCACCATGCCAGATCAGCGTGGTGCCCTGGGAGTACGTGAACGAGAAGTGCCAATGGCTGAACTCAGGAGCCGTGCTGCGAAGAAACGAAAGCCGTGCCGTTTGGACACCCGGTGACAGGGTGAGTGCGAGCATGTTTGTCCAGTCTTTAGAAGTGGAATGAGTACGAGTACTGAGTACTGAGTTGTTTAAGTTAGTGTTTGCTTGACCTTCTTCAACCACCTCACGTATTTTAACTCGCTTCATTGACTTCATTGGATGAAGAACCCCACCATGCCAACCAATGCAACCTCCAGATGAGCAACGGCATGGCAGACCACCGGTCTGCCCCGGCCCGTTCGTACCGAACGGGCGCTCCTTTTCCTGTCAGGAACCTTGGGCCCCAAGGAGTACGAACCATGGATGGGCACCTCGGCGGGGTGGAGTGCTTCGGTGCACCGAGGAGGTGGGGTTGTGGGCCCCCTTGGGCATTCCTGGGGCTGGGGGAGGAGCAACGGACCAAGGGCATGATAGTGGGAGAGAAGGTAGAGCCTTGAAAGCTTAGTTTAGTTGAAGTTTAGTTTGAAGGAACATCTCTGTCCCTGTTCCTGTCGCTCTTCTCCAAAGAATCCTTGAGCCCAACCATTCGCTTATAGAACAGCCTTCCTGACCAGTGACCAGTAGATGTAATTAGGTTTTGCATGGTTTTGCTACCTTTAGTTGTGATCGAAACAATCCACTTTTTGGTTCATCTTGAGGAGTGGAAATCATGACAGCACTTGCCGGGGCCTAGGGCCCAATATGATCTCATATTGCTATGTCAAGCAGCCAGTCTACACGAGTTGCCACCATTCTTTTAAGATATTTTAAGAGGATTTCATAGCCTTACGCCCAAAAGAGGAGAAACCGCGCTCAGACGAGGTGAAGACACCATCGATGGAGTTTTGGTGACGGAGTGGATGATTGATGGCAGATCATCGCTGTTTTCGAATGAGTGCTAAGACTAAGACCAGGGTTTTTCTGTGGTATACCAGGGCGCGGTATAACATGGTGTCTAATCACCCCTATCTGAAGTTAAGGAGTGTCCACTGACCACCATGGACCCGGACATCTCCAACCGAGAGCGACCTGAGGCTCCCGACTCGAGGTGACATTGAAGATGAAGCGACGCTGGTTGGACACCCCGGAGGGCGCAGAATGGAACGCCAAGAAGCAAGAGAAGGCTGCATTGCAGAAGGAGAGGGTGAGACTCGGGTACAGAGCCTGCTTGAACAACCGAGCTGCTTGCATAGCCGAGCTCCCCAAATGAGGTTTCTCTTTTTGTATTGTTGTGAAGCACAACGGGCCCCGTTCCAGGAAGGTCCAGGACCTCACTCCAGGTCCGCCTTCCTCCGGCCGGACCAGAGGAGGTGAGAAACACCCAGTCCTCCGGTCCTCCACCGTTTTGGGGAGGAAAACCACCTGCGGACGCTGGCGGAAAAGGAGGAGATCCTCAGATCTCCCACTCGCGGTGTAATTAGAGGCTTTTCGGTGGAGAAAGTGGCATGCTATCTAGAGAGTGCGCAGCTTTGCAGGAGATTCAGAAGAAGATCAGGCACCTCTCCGGGGCACCGGGGCTCGCAGCGGGGCAGACCGTCATGACGTGCTCCATCGGTGGGGCTCAGGGGGCGACACGCCCAAGCGAGGTGGCCAGTGGGGTCGCGCCCCATGAACGCTGGGTCTGGGTCTTGTCCTCCTCTTGTCCTCCTGGTGCTTGCAGTTGTCCTGCTGTTGTCCTCTGGCCGTGCTGGCCAACCTTGTGTCCTCGTCTTGTCCTTCTCTTCTTGTCCTCCTGTTGTCCCCTTCTTGACGCCAGCTTGGCCGCGGCTGCCAGCGTCTCCAGACCTTGTCCTCCGGTTGTTCTCTTCTGGCCCTCCTGTTGCCCCCTGGTTGTCCTTCTGCTGTGGCAGAGGTGACACCATGGCAGCGTGCACGCTCGAAGCAAAGGGTCTAATGCAAGAAAGCAATTGCACACGCGTAGGCCTTGTGTGGCACCTAGTCGGAAAGTGCTAGCCAGCAAGCGCAAAGATCGCAGTACCGCAGCAATGGCCACGTGGCAGCCTGTCAGCAGCATGTAATCATAAGAACGTGCATGGGCGTGGGTACACTACAAAGCAGTGATGCAGTAGCAAGACAACTCCAGAAGGCAACCCAGAAGCCAATGTCCTCTCCTTGTCCTCTTGTTGAGGAAAGGAGACGCTGGCCACAGTGCCAGGCCGCGCCGGCGAGACCTGTCCGGATGTCCTCCTGTTGTCCTCTTGTCACTATGTTTTCGGTCATGTCCTCCTCATGTTCTTGTATTGCCTTCTTTTGTCCTTCCTCAGGTGTTCATTGGCCGCGGCTGCCAGCCTATCTCCGTTGTACTCCTCCCGCTCCCGTCGTCGTCTTGTATTTCTCTTGTCTTCTCTTCCTCTTCTCCTCCTGTTCTCCTCTTGGCGTGTTCCCCTCATGTTGTCCTGTTATCCTTTTGGCGTTGTCCGGTCACAGCTTGTCCTTCTTTTGTCCTCTTGATGTGTTCGTGTTGTGCTTTCCTTCCCTCATCCTTTATCCTTTGTTGTCCTCCTCATGTCCTCCCAAGATGGGCCACTGTGTGCATGTGAAGAAATAGGTGATAATCTTTGGCGACAAATTTACCCCCAAAAGAGACGTCCAAACCTCGAAAAACAGGGTTTTCCTCGTAATTCACGGTGTTTTCCTGCACCTCATCTTTTCTAGCTTCCAAAGCTTCCAAAGCCAATGGTCGACAATCTACTGTAGTTTACGTTGCTTTCAACACGTTTTTCTTGAAAACCATTCCTTCCAACACCTCTAAAAGCGCAGGGGCTGGGGCTGCGGCCGCCACCACCACAACAATTCTTGCTGACTAAGCTGTTTGGGGTCTATGCTGGCGGGTTCTGGGGCGGCTCATGCCAGGGCGAAGAAAGCGTTGCGCTGGAAGAAGGACCTCACCCCCAAGAGGGAAAAGGTGCCGGGCGGGATGGGTGCCGGGCTCGTTTCGGCCGAAAGACAGAGGATGTCTTGCTGGGTTACAGCATGAAGGCGCAAGAACTGTGGGGTTCCTCCACATGTCGACCTCTCGCACAAGATGTTGTGACTCGATGTTTTCATGGCCAAGTTTTTGGTTCTTTTGCTGGAGTGCACCATGCATGAACAGTGAGGATGATTAGGGGAGTGAAGGGAGACAAGGTCCAAACCCGCCGTAGCTTCGGCTGCAGCTTCGTGTCAGTGGCTCGGCGCATGCTGCATTTCAGCGATTATAATCAGCCGAAATCATATAAGTAGTGAAACCGTGTTGATGTCGAAACATTTCCAGAAATCTATGGGGAATTCCCTGAAATCCATAGACAGATTTTCCGCCACATCTGCCCAAGTGGCTTGCCGGTGTTCTTTCGGGGCTGCGGGCTGACCGGCGGTCGACCGGGCTGACCGGTCGCTCGACCGCAATGCGGGGATCTTCAGACCTCGACCTCGACCTCCCACCGGTCGTTCATAGTAGTTCTTGTGGTTTTTGCCTTGCAACTCCTAGCTATGAGATTTACCAAGGTGTTAACCCCTTGCATCGATCGATTCCAACGGGGGAAACGACATGTGTTTTTTCGATTCCCCCCAATGGAGAGCTGAGTTTCAGGAAATGGTCTTCTTGCAGAATGTTTTAGAAGGGCTTGCAGCTTGCCACGTGCATCGTTGACCGGACCTTTCCTCGCAGTTCTAAATGTTGTGCTTGCAGGTCCCGTTTTCCTTTGGACCCCCCCAACCACCGGAGGTGGTCGCGGGCGACTCTGATTCTGAGAAGTGATTTGCCTCGCCAGAAGATTTTCGGCCACCAGCAGAAAAAGGCGCTATGCTTCAGGTGTGCACCTGCTTTTAAAGGGGTGGGCGTTTCTTTTAAAGTTGCTTTATCTTTTTGGATCTTTTTTCAGACTTGCTTTTACTTTCACTGCTTTTTTGTTTTCCTGTTCTTTTTTTGTAGTTGCTTTTTCGCTTTTGGTGTTTGCTTAGGTTTTTGTTTTTGTTTTTTTACTTTGCTTTTTGTTGCTTTGGTTGTTGCTTTTTGTTGCTGTTTGGTCTACCGTGCTGCACTTGTTGCTGTTCGGTCTACTGTGTGATGCACTACTGCGCAACTTGCACACACTCATATTTCACATATGTATATATATATATATATGTTGTGTATATATAATTATATCACATACACATATTAGACAGAGAGGCTTCACTATGCTTTGCGAACAGGTATGTCGTGGTTGTTCTGCGGTGTTGGTGGGAAAAGACCCCCAAGGCTTGGGCCCCAAGGTTTGAAAAGATACTGAATTAGAAACGGATGCCTTTTCAATCTGGCTTCCGTTGCAAAGAACCAAGAACTCTCCATATCCAAAGGAACATCGCGCTCGGATCAGTCCTGGAGACCGCGAAACCACGGTTGACCGTGTTCCGAGTCCCGACCGGATCGTCCCCGACCGTCCCGTGCGGTGCTGCGCTGGTTCAAGTGATGTCATCGGTTTCACCATGTGGGCTTCGAGACGCTGATGAAGTTGACACGTGCAAGAAGAATTCAAGCGCTGTCGCAGCTGTAGATTTGTTGGTCTTGTTGGGACCGGGAAGGTGGACATTTTTATGTGCAGGTCGTTTTGGGATTTGGCAGGTCGGTCAGTTTGATGGAGGGCTTGGATTTTAAACGCTGACTTTGACGCACAATTTTTGCCGTGCGATGGACGCCACATCTTCGCCTGAGAAGGAACTGGGCGGTTGGATGGGGGACAGGGTGAGAGTCTTGAAAACCGAGTGTTTTTTGGCTCTCCAAGTTAGTTAGCAGTTGTAGCTGAGGCTTAAGATGTTTTAAGGGGGTCAACTCAGCCGGTTTGAAAGAAAGGTGGGATAAGCCATACGGGCTACAAGTCCGCCGCTTTTCAGGCTTTCCCCGCTTTCAACGTTAAGAAGTCTTGCAGAACTGGCGTTGTTTAGCAGTAGCTTGGTAGCTCTTGGGGTCTTCTTTGTTGCTAAGTTGAGTAATTTAAGGTGTGCATGATGGTGCTATTCAAGTAAAAAATAAGGTGTTGCTAAGTTGAGTTTAAAATAAGGTGTGCGTGATGGTACCCATTTCCTGCTTGGTAGCTCCTAATTTGGTTTCACTGTTGCTTCCAAGCATGCGTAACTTAAAGAACCAGGTTGTGATCTTGGATTCCAGAATGGCCCAAACACTTTGAGGTGGTGGGATTTGAAAGTTTAATTTCATGTTTTGCATCGCCCCCAAAAAATGAAATTGTTCACCTCTACCTTCTCGTAAGTAACAAAATTACATAGCAAACTTGCAATTAAACATCATATACGATATCCTAATCATTGAGATTAATTAAACTAAGTTTAACCCCCGTCGGCAGGGCTCCCAGCAGCAACAATTTTTGCCTAGAAAGATGATCTCTGTCTTGGCTACCGGTCGCTGTTCGATCTATGTCTAAGTCTAACTGACTAATTATTACGCATCAGTTCGCGGACAGTCAGTGGGCTCCCAGCAGCAGATTGTCCGCTGCCATCAGGTGGACCTTGGTCCCTGCGCTTGCGCTCATGCCCATTGCTGCCCATCGACGAAACAACATTTCCAGGGCCTCTGCTCCTTGTTCCGCCAATACACCCAGCTGGCGAGGTGGCACGCCGAGCGCCGGTGCTGGAAGGAACCAGCTTCGCCTTCTCCCACTGACCTGCCGCAAACGCCGCAGGTGTACTGGCTGCGATTCTCCGGGTCAGGTCGGGAGGTCAATGCTCTGGTCCTTGGACCTGTCCGGGCCGGAAATTCTGGGTGTCATTGGATCCTTTGCGCCGGGGGTTGCAGCCGTAGCTGCAGGATGCTCCTGGTCGTCGTCCTGCTCTTCGTCTTCCTCCTGCCGGATTGCTTGGCGCAGCCGTGGCTGCGACTTGCGGAAGGCTTGCTGCTACTACGAGACCGTGACCTCTTCCTTCCATTGTCATCATCATTGTTGTCATTGTCCATTGTTGTCCGACGGTGGTCACTTCGACAACGACGGTTATTATTATGGCTTCGACCACGACGACGATCTTTGACTTTCGTCATGGCCTGGCCAGGAATGCAGTGGAGAGGCTACTTAATTCATCTTTTGAAAAAAGATACTGGCTTAAACTTTAGAATTTAGTCCGTAGACTGGTCAGTCCGTAGACTGTGTCACATGGGTGAGTCCTTAGACTCGGAAGTCCGTAGACTTAGTCCGTAGACTGACAGTATATAATAGTCCTTAGACTCGGAAGTCCGTAGACTTAGTCCGACTGACAGTAGTATAGTCCGTAGACTCGGAAGTCCGTAGACTCCAGAAGTATAGTCCGTAGACTTTTTGTTAGTCCGTAGACTTTCGTATTTTTAGTTCCTAAATGCCGCGCCTGGAAGAGAAGCCACGAGACACGATTTCTTTGAGCCAGAGACCAGCTGAAAATGCGAGGCAAACAGCAAATTCCAAATTCAGCGTTACCTGTGAGTGAGGAGTGGTTGACACATGGCTGACCTACAATTGATAATTCATCCAGATTATTAATGGGGCTCAGATTTTAATACTTAAATAATTAACCACAGTTGACCCACTGACAGACAAGCAAGCGCTGCTTTTTTCCACATCTGTTTATAGTCTCACCGCCGGTCCGGGTAAGACGACCTTGCCTTGGATCTACACCTCCTAGCCTAACGCCCCAGCTCTCTCACTGTGGCTTGCCACATCTTGACCAGGAGATTGTCCGTAGACGACCCAGCCCCTGAGTCTGGCTCCGGATCGCCTTGGCCATCCTTGTCTCTGCGTTTGCGGTCGGGGTCACTCCTGACTGGGACTGGAGACCATTGCTTCTTACCGGGCTTTTGAAGCAGTGTGTCATCTTCTGGCCCCGTTTCGTTTTTTGCCCAAAGCTGTTTGGACCACTTCTGAGCGTCGTCCTGGCAGAGCTTCCAAGCGCGCTTTTCTTTGTTGTTCCAGTAAATCCAGCAGCTCAGGTGGTAAGCTGACCGGCGGTGTTGCCACGAGCCGGCGACCCCACCTCCGACCACACGTCCGCAAACTTTACAGGTGTACTGACTGTCCTTGGACGGCTTGCTGCCAGTCTTCTCAGCCGGAGCTGAGGCGGTTGAAGTTGGGGGGCACTCTGGCTCAGGAGGCCGCACCGACCCACTCCGCGGATCTTTGGGGGCAGGCGCCGTTGGTGCTGGCGCCGTTGGTGCTGGCGCTGTTGGTGCTGGCGCTGCCACTGGCGGGTCAGTGGCTGCCTCCTCTTCTTCTTCGCCTTCTTCTGCGTCATCCTCGTCGGACTGACTTCCCGTGGGATCTGGACCACGGTGACGAGGTCCTGCGCCCGGAGGCGCAGGTGCTCCTTTGCCCGTAGGCGGTTCCGGTTCTGCCACAGCAGGGACCAAGACAGCCCTCGAGCTGTTGGACCTGTCTTCCCGGTGGTCCCTGTCACAACGCTCTCTGCTTCGACTCCTGCTCTTTTTCTTGTCGCGCTTCTTCTTAGTCTTCTCAGGGCTTCGGCCTCGCTTCTCTTCTCGGCGGTCACTGCGACGGTCCCGGTCCTTGCCCTTGCCAGACTTCTCTGTCACTGTGGTCATGGCCTGGCCGAGAGCGATGAAAATGGTGGGGCTATTGATTTTAATACATGAGAAAAAAAGCAGCGACAATGACAAGTATGACGAATGATTTTAGTCGTATGAGTATTATATGGGCTGATATTTAGTACGGATGTGACGGGCGCAAGTGACATGAACTAAATACATTGAAATGCCGCGCCTCACTCGGGGTCACCAGCGTCACACTAACCGCACAGTTTTGAGTCTTGGAGCCAAACAGCAGCTGGACAGGTGGATCATCTGGAGTGACAAACAACAGGAAACCCCACAGACTCTAGGACAACCACGGCAGAAGATGATAAACAGCCAACAAGAGCAACAACAACTACAGGAACTGCAACAACAACAACATCATCATCATCAACAACAGCAAGTATGACATTCCTTGCCCTCCACGCGTTGACTCTGGGCAGCCAAGGGTTTAAATGCATCAGGGCGTCATCTGAGACTGCCATGCCGAATCAGGCGCGACAGTTGCAAGCTAAGCCAGCTAAGCCATCAATCGCTAAATTTGCTTCTTTTTTCCAC